GAGAGAGAGAGAGAGAGAGAGAGAGAGAGAGAGGAAGTGAGAAAGCAAACCACCTGGTCTGGGACTCAAACCATGGTCGGCCATGTGGGAGTCCAGTGCCCCCAACCACCATGCCACCTGCCAGCCCCTATGGCGTGGTTTAAAAAGCATGCAGATGCACATATACTGGTCTTCTTCACCGTTGAACACTGTGTCACATGGTACACTTTCTCCTCCTGGCCATGCTAGCAGCGTCAGATTTCCGTGGCTCAGGAATAATAGTTTCATTGTCTTGTTCCCTTTTGGTCACTGCCCTCTCTCGTCTCTCCCTTTCTCCACTCCAGTCCTTGGCGCTCCGCCACTCTCTCTGTTTGCACTTCTGGTGCTCCCGTTTGGTGCTGGGTCTCGCCACACCTTATGAACTGGTCTGGCAAAGCTAACCAGTGTTGTCTTGTAGGCCGAGTTCGGAACTTCTGTGTGGTACTTAAAGATGTCCCTCCCACTCCTCTCCTGCCTCTCCCCGCTCGCGAGTGCCCTCCTAGCTCTCTGATCATTCTTTGTGCTTTTCCTGGTTGAGACTTTTCCTCTGTCTCCCCACAAATGTGCTTCTGGCGGGGCTCCTCCTCCAAGCTTCCCACTCTGTATTCCCCAGGCCCTGCTGTTCCCTCCCTACGCCCAAGGTTGTCAGTGCAGCTGCTCTTTACAGTCGTGGGTGGAGTGCTTAAAAACACCCATGCTTGGGCCCAGGATGGGCTACATAGCTCGGTGGCGGACTTAATCCAAAATGAAAATACAGCGCCCTGGTTTAAAAAGTGATTAAGAATTTAAGATGGTGACAGTAGAAGATTAAACCAAGCCTAAGGCCCTTGTGAAGCACAGGGCCCTGTATAACTTCCCAGGTCTTAAACTTGAACCTGCCCTACCTGGGTGCCTTCTCCCCTAACCCAGTTAGACCATTACCCCCCAGATGGAGTCCCAGTCATCAGTTTTTGTTTTTCTTTTCTTTTCTTTTTCTTTTTTTTAAGAGAGATTTTTGCTATAGGGCATGTGCGCTCACCAGAGAGACAGAAAGTGAGAAATCATCTCCCAGGGGGATGGCCACACCACAATCCCTTCTCCAGTCTCCTCCAGGGATCTTGGGCATGCATGCTCATGCACCTGGCATGAGTTTGAAGCCGCTGGGTCTGGGACTTGAACACAGTCGACCATGTGTGAGTCCAACAATGTAACCATTACACCATGTTCTGGTCCCTGCTTTTTTTGTTATTTTCTAGAGAGATTTTTGCTGTAGTGTGCTTGCTGGAGAGACAGAGTAAGACCGAGAGCCAGAAAGCAGGAAATCACCCCCCGGGGAGATGGCCATGCTGCAGTATCTTCTCCTCCGTTTTCCTCCTGGGATTTTGGCCACCCATGCACACATGCCCAGTGTGAGTTTTAAGCCACCAGGTCTGGGACTTGAACTGTGGTTGACTATGTGGGAGTTCAGTGACATATCCATTATGCCATCTGCTGGTCCCACAGCATCAGCAGTTTTTAAAGCCCCCCTGGTGATGCCAGTGTTAGGCAGGAGCAGATTTATGCCACTGGCTTCCCAGTCTGTATCACCAGCCTGGTCCTTCTGCTCAGCACCGTTTCTACATGTGTACAGAGGTGGCTATCAGGCGTCTTTGCTTCAGTCGTGGGGCCTCCACTTGTCCAAAACTGACCTCATGATCTTCCCCTGCTGTCCATCTGTAGATCAGTTTGCTCTCCCATGTTCTACGGCTCAGACTCTGGAAGACACCTACGCCGGTATTCAAGCCAGCACCTGGGGCTCACTGAGCCCCCAACACACCCTCAGTCCCTTACCCTATTGGCCCCATTGCTGTCAGTTCTACCTTCAAGGTCTTAATTATCCCGTCTTCTCCTGGCACCCCCAGCACAGGCTCTCATAGACTCCTGCTGGGCTGTCCCAGTGGCCTCCCTGTATCCTGCCTTTAATCTTCACGCTGCGTACCTCTTACAGCATCATCCATCTCCTATAACCCTCCCACGAGTAGGCCTTTGTCAGTCATCCTCTGATGGCTCAGTGGTGCCTTATCTGCCACCAAATGAAACCCCAACTCCTTAATGAGGATTAGAAGGCTTTCCGGATCATGGCCCCTGCCAAACGCTTCATCTGCAGGACCTGCTGGCTCACTGGGTAAATTCTGAAAAACTTCCAGAACAGAATGTGCTATTTTACACCTCTGCACACTCAGCTTCCTTGTACTGGAATTTCCCCCTCGCCTCCACTCCCTTTTTCTAAGACTGTTCCCTGCGTCCAACGGCAGGCTTGACTCCCACAGAGGGCCTGGTTCACACGCAATGCGTTTTGCATGACTGTTTGCTCGTCCAGGCTGCATTACTCACGGCCTCTTCTGGACACTTACTCACCCTGTCTTGCAGGTGCCTGCATTACCACATTATTGTAAGTGCCTGTCCATCTCCCACGCTTCACCATGTGGTTTCTTGAGAACAAGAACCACTTATGATGAGACTTTCAAAAGTCCGCAGGAAAGTAGAATTATAGTATGAGTTTATTTTTGGTGCCAAAACTTTGAAATCCATGCATAGTTTTTTCATCGTACACATTTTCCATGAATATTTTGAAGACCTCCTCATGTAAGTCAGGATTTTTTCAGATGCAAATGGCACAACCCACTCCCAACTTGCTAAAGAAAAAAGGGAGTATATTTGCTTATATAATTAAAAAGACGTGGGGACTTCAGGCATGGCTGGATCCAGGCACTGACGTACCCCCTCTATTTAGTAGTTCTGCTTTTTCCATGTTGACTTCATCTGGGGGCTGAGGCTCCACCAGCTTCCAGCCTCTTTACAGCTATGTTCTTGGCCGAAGGAGAGCAACGGTTCCTGCCTTGTTTTGTATTGATAGCTGGAGGTTTATATTATCCGGAGAGCCCTTGGAAGAGGCCCTAGCACGAATCAAGTATGGTAAAGCCTTCTGCTTTCCATTCATCCAACGCTCAGCATAGCAAGCATAGCACTTAGCAGTCCTTAAACACTGAGGACTGATGTGAGGAGAGAAAAAAATAGGTTGTTGGCTTGGGAAATTAATTTTGAGCAACTTTAGCAATGTGTAATAATCTCCCAGAAAGGCAGTTTTCCTGACCTGATCTCTTGTTATCTGATAGGGTTGGGCTTGTTCCTCTTATGGGACGGAATTCCTGGAGGATTACTCAGAGATTTTCAGCACAGACCCCTTTTGTGGGGTGTGCTGACCACCCTCAGGAGAAAGCGTGGGTTCTAGGCATGGACATACCGAGGCAGAGCCTGGGTGCAAAGGACAGGGCCAGGTCAATTCCCGAGGTGTGTGCTCCTGCTGTTTTGTGACCAGCACTGAGGGCAGCTCTCCTCTAGGTGAGATTGCCACTCCCCTCCCCTCTGCTCACTTTGGGGTTTCTCTGAGCTATGGCCCTCCAAATCAGAGAAACTGGAGCAGCTTAAGATCAGTGAGAAGTGGGGGCCAGGAGGTGGCATGGAGTTGAGGCGCAGGACTCTCACATGGCTGACTGTGATTTGAGTCATGGACCCAGTGACTTTCTTTCTCACTTTCTCTCTCTCTGCTACATGTGCTCTGTAGCAAATTTTAAAATTAATAAATAAATAAAATTGAATAAATAATTTAAAAATGATCAGCAAGAAGGATGTTTGCAGAACAGTCTGAGGCCCACAGAGTAGCCAGAAGACCTCACTCCTGTAAGTGGACCAGCCCCATGCTGTGCTCCCATACCGCATTTTATTAAATGAGCATCAACACACTTTTAATGATGAATTAGTCTGAATTATCATTAAATTATTATAAGCCCTACAAGTGTACTGAGCTTATTGGCCAGCTGTGAGTTCCATGGCAGACCTGGCTGTGGTAGCATGCCTGGCTGTTGCTGCTTCTCAGCCAGCAGAACCACACGGGTGGCCCAAGTCAGATTCCTGGCCCACACTAGGTGCACACCTGTAATCCCAGCTGCTCTGGAGGTTAAGCCAAGAGGGTCAGGATATAGTGAGACTTTGTCAAAAAAGCAATATGAGAAAAGAAAAGAAATTTATGGCAGGGGGTACAGATTATGGCCCCACCTAATTTTAACGATTTTTCAATTTGACTTTGAAATAATTGTAGGTACACTGGCAATTGCAAAGCACTGTGCAGGGAGGTGCTGTGCACACTGCCCAAGCCCTTCCATGCTGTCTTGCCTCTCTGTAGTAGAATATCACAACCAAGAAACTGGGTTGGCCCTATAGCCTAGTGGTTAAGGAAGCTGGATCCTGAATGGCTGACCACGGTTCAAATCCTGGCCCCTGAGGCTTGACAAACATACCAGGTGCTTGAGCATTTGTGCCGATCATATCAGCAGGATGGTGAACTGTAGGAGAAGAGGTCATGGCATAACCACGCCCCACTGAGGAATACTTTCTTCTTTCTCTCTCTGTTTTTCTCTGATGAGTGCACATGCACTCTGGCAATTAAGAAAAGAACTTAAAAACAAACAAACAAACAAAAAAACTAAGTAAAAATAAATAAATAAGTGGGGAGGGCGGAAGAAAAAAAAAACAAAAAACTAAGACACTGACATTGGCACAGTCTACTGAGATGCCTTAGATTGCATCAGTTATACATGACCATGTGTGTATGTGCATGTGCGTGTGTGAGTGCACGCGTGCACTCATGCAACACTGCAATTTTATAACATGGATGGCTCTGTGTGACAATCACACAATCAAAGTACAGAACTGGCCTGTCACTACCAGGCTCTCCTGCCACCTTTTCCTAGCCACACGTAACCTCTATAACGTCTAACGATCACTAATCTGTTTTCTACCTCTTTAACTTTGTTATTTAAAGAATACTGTCTAGCTTCAACAGCTGTTTTTGTAAAGCCTCTGTGTTAAGCATTTTTCCACATTTTTAAATTATTAAGAGACATTTGGGGCCAGCTCTTGGCCAGGTCGTTAAAGTGGCTGGATTCCACCTGGCTGATCGTGCAGTTCAAATCTGAGACTCAGCAACTTGAAAAACACACCAGGCACATATGTGTGCATGCCCAAAATCCTGAAAGAAGGTAGAGATGGAGGGAAAAGGATTGTGGTATGACCATTCCCCATGGGGGAGCTTTCTTGTTTTCCCTCTCTCTGCAAATGCACACACCCTCTGACAAATTAAAAAATAAAACAAACAGGAACCAGCAGATTATGTAATGGCTACACCACAGATTCCCTTGTAGTTGACTGGGGTTTGAGTCCCGGACCCAGTGGCTTAAAGTCACGCTGGGCACATGTGAATGCATGCCCAAAATCCCAAGAGGAGAGTGGAGGAGAAGGGATTGCAGCATGGCCATACCCCCTGAGGGGTGATTTCTTGCTTTCTGTCCTCTGTCTCTCTCTCTCTCTTTTTCTTGGAAGCACATTGTCCTATAGCAACAACAACAACAACAACAACAACAAAAACAACTCTCAAAAAAATAAATAAATGAATAAATAAAAATAAAATTTTTGGACATATGAAGATGATATGAAATTCAAATGTCCATGACCATAAGTGAAGTATTCCTGGAGCCTGGCCACTCCCGTTCATTTACATATGGTCCGTGTTTACTCTTGAGCTTTGATGGTGGGGGGGGCCAATGAAGCTACGATATTTACTACCTGACCTTTTGCAGAAATGTTTGCCAATCCCAATCTAGGACATTGCTCATACTGCTTGTTAACTGGTCAAAGGTGAATGTCAGTTTGAGTGGATGAATACCACCACTTGCTCTTGAAAGAGACATGCTCCCTCCACATCACCTAGTAGCTGCTGAGCTCAAAGCACACAACAGGCCTCATCTCATTCAAGGTCCGTGACCGTTAATATATTGCAAATGCCAGGCCACAAATGCGGGTGTGCATTTATTTTCAATAATATAATGCCATTTGTATTTTGAGCTGTCTTTCTATCATGTGACAAAACCCATTTGGGTCATTTTGAGGCTTGCCTCATGCCCCCAGGGTAGCATTTAATTCCTGGGGAGAGAGGAGACGCTTGGTCTTCAGTGGTCACTGCACGCTGGCCCCTGCTGAGAGGGGCCGTGCTCTGTGCTGCCCTCAGGCAGGCTGGCTGCTACCTACCTCCTCATGGCTGTGGACAGGCTGGTGCCTTCTTTCCTGTCACTGAGACTCACTGGGTTTTTATGCCACAGGTTCTCTCTGAGCGTACATTTGGAGCACGGAGGGCGTGCTGTATCACAAATGCTGCACTTCAACAATATTTGTCTTCTTCTTTTAATTGCCAGAGGGACCATATAATCACCGAGAGAGAGAGAGAGAGAGAGCGAGAGAGAGAGAAACACTCCCCATCCCCCAAAGGGGAATGCTCATGCCGCAGACCTTCTCCTCCATTTCCCTATCCCACCAGGGTCTTGGGCATGCACACACAAGTGCTTGCTGTGTTTTCCAAGCTGCAGGTGCTGGGGTTGCACCCAGGAATGGCCATGTGGGATCTAATGTAAAAGTCCCAAAGCTCAGTGCTGATACACTGTGCCAGAGGGCTGGCCTGACAATATGTTCTGATCAACGGTAGCTGACCCACCAGGTCTGAAATGGGGTCCAGGAACTTGCATTTCTAGAAAGTTCTCGGTTGATAACCAATGTGCTGCTGGGAGACTCCACCTTGAGGACCACTCTCCTGTACCATGCTGGGGCTCTGGTACCTTGGAAAATCTGTTTTGGGTCTGTCTAGCTAAATGCACACTGGATCCCATCACTGCTGCTTCTGCCGGTCAGAAGGCCCCGGGCCGCTCACCCCTGCTCCAGGTCTCCCCTCCTGCCTCTCCTGCTATGTAGGTCTGTGGGTCCGGTTTGGTGTTTCTTGGAATCACATGGATAATTTTAAAATCAACCAATGTCTGGGTTCCTTCTCTTCCCCACTCAACCTTTTGGCCTAATAGGCTGGGATGTGGCCTGGACTTCGGGGACTTAAAGTTCTCTAGGTGATCTAGTGTGTAGGTCCAGTTGGAAACCCTGCTTGGAGGCAGTGTCCTCAGGTGTGGTCCAGACCTGCAGAATCCACACTATCCAGAGTCCTGCCACAAACGCAGGGCTCAGGCCCTCTCCCAGACTCTCCAACTCAGACCTTTGGAGTCAGGCCCTGATCTGTCTGAATAAGCCCTCCTGGTGATTCTGATGCCTGTCAAGGGGTTCAGACTGATTGGGGCGGGGAGAGGGCTCGGAGACTCCATCAAGGACCTGCTATCACGAAGGCTGCCCACCCTCCCCCCCAGTGTCCGTGTGTCCCTGGTCTAGAAAATCTGCTGTCGCTTAGGGAGGAGAGCGGGTGGGTTCTTACACCATCCTGTCTTGCTGTGCAGATGTTACACTCTCTACACACTCCTTGGAGAGAGAAACAGGAGGGAGGATTCGGAAAGTTCAAAGCCAGGCAAAGACTCTTGCTGTCCTCTGCTTGCTAAATTACCCCTTCCTGTAAATGACAAACCCCAGCTGCCTGGGTGTAGGACACAATTGCTTAATAGTTCACAAATGTATTCCCCATATTGACTTCCCAAGGTAGGCATTTTTAGGTATTTGGGGACAGTGAGATTTGAGAGTTTGTGATCTGCCTGGATCCTAAATCTCAAAGCTCTGACTCCAGAGCTTGAAGAATTGAGAGTCCTTGTGGTTTGAATCCCAGACCCAGTGACTTGAAAATCGCACTGGGTATGTGTGTATGTGTGCCAAAAACCCCAAGAGGAGACGTGATTGCAACACAGCCATCTCCCCTGGGGGTGATTTCTCACTTGCCCTCCCAATGCCCCTATGTCTCTCTCTTTGGCGAGTACACGCAGCCTATGACAAAACCTAAAAACAGAAGTTCTTGCATTCTTTAGTCTGGTCTGTCTGTGAAATATCCCTTTCTTTCCCCAGGACTATGGGCTGTGATCAACAATGCTGGGGTCCTTCTCTTGCCAGCTGATGGGGAGCTCATTCCCATGAACGACTACAGACAATGCATGGCCGTGAACTTCTTTGGAGCTGTGGAAGTCACGAAGGCCTTTTTGCCCCTTCTTAGGAAATCCAAGGGGAGGCTGGTGAATATTGCCAGCATGGCAGGTGAGTCTGCTCTTCCCACAGGGTCCTGGAGTGCCTGTCGCAAGATGTTGTTCACTGTTTTCTCTGTGGGCTGCACAGGAAGGGGGCACTTCAAGGTGGGACTGGGCTAGGGTTCGCAAAGTTGTTTATCCACTGTTGACCTTAACACAATAAAATCTTTGCCTCTTTTCAAATCCTTTCATGTACAAATCCTTATCTACCTTCTAATTCATCTGTTCATTGCAGGGATTTAGCGTTCTTAAATAGCTTCACAATGCAACTGCCAACACACGAGCGTCCAGGATTTGGCAGGAAATCCCTCGTGACGGATGACATCAGCATTGCATGCAACCTGTTTCCATGCTCTCTGAACTCAGCATTTGCTGTTGTTCTCTGTAAACTCAGCGGGCAAATACCGTCCCTGTACTCGTGCACTCTGAGTCCTGGGTCACAGCTGCCTACTAGTGTCACTGTTAGATTGACCACAGTATTTTCTTTCTTTCCTCTTCTCTTCTTTTCTCTTCTCTTCTCTTCTCTTCTCTTCTCTTCTCTTCTCTTCTCTTCTCTTCTCTTCTCTTCTCTTCTCTTCTCTTCTCTTCTCTTCTCTTCTCTTCTCTTCTCTTCTCTTCTCTTCTCTTCTCTTCTCTTCTCTTCTCTCTTCTCTTCTCTCTTCTCTTCCTTTTCTTTTCTTTTCTTTTCTTTTCTTTTCTTTTCTTTTCTTTTCTTTTCTTTTCTTTTCTTTTCTTTTCTTTTCTTTTCTTTTCTTTTCTTTTCTTTTCTTTTCTTTTCTTTTCTTTTCTTTTCTTTTCTTTTCTTTTCTCTCTTCTCTTTTCTTTTTTTTTTGGAGAAGTTTTTGCTATAAGGGTGCATGTGCTACTGCAGTCCACTACATGAGAGTCCAGCGACATAGCCGTTATACTAACTGCTGGTCCCATCCCCAACATTTTCAACATAGTGGGCTAGGGATGTGACATTTGACGATGTGTTGTCTCTTTTCATTTCAAAGAATAAATAGCCAACAAGTTGAGACATGCAAGTGTCTCCTTGAGGCAAGGACTTAACAATGTCCCCTTCCATAAACAATGCCTGTGCAAGTGCTCCCCCATTTTCTTCTCAGACAGACACTTTCAAGCTGGGATTCCTCAGAACCTTACTCAGTTTTGGAGACCATTCATGGGGTTGTCTTTTCAGTCCCTGAACACCTGAGAGGGTTGGGCTCTCAACTCTCAAGTTCTGTCGTCAAGTAATGGAATACTCCTCCTCACTGTTGGATCCATTGGCTCTCAGTAAGATTAAAAAATAATAGTAATGGGTCCAATTAGTTTTGTTTGTGTGTGTGTGTGTGTGTGTGTGTGTGTGTATGTAAGTGTCTGTAATGTGAACAATAGTTCTAGAAGAATTTTTCTTGGGGGGGGGTTCCTTGTAATTTCCTATGCAAAACTATTGTTTGCCCATCTCGTTCCCTTTCTTGGCTTTAACTCAGCAACTTTCTAGAAACTAACTACTTTGTGTGTCTTTGCTTAGACTCATTGGTTGGCCTGAGGCATAAACCAGGGAAGGAAGAAGGGAGAGAGGGAGAGTGAGGTGTCTGACACAGTTAGGAGCAATGAGCATTGTTCTGTGGTATAAATAGTCCCACTGTGGCCAATTTCAAGCTATGACTGTGACATTACTGAATGTGGAGCTGCAGCAGCACATGCTGATCCAGTATTTCCAGCCTAGAGTCCAGGCTGTGGAGGAAGCCAGAGGGAAAGAATGTCCTCACCTCCTGTGAGTTTGGGACTACTGCTTTGGCTGGCATTTGAGAAAGCATAGGGGGTAGGGAGTTTTGTGATTTTTCTTCTTACATGCCTTAACTCCTTTGACCTCGTTTATTCGAGATGATAAGACACAAGACTTTTGCTCCCCATTATTCAGGGAGGCTGACAGAGAAGGGCTAGAATAGTGAAGGCTTGGAAGAATCTTGACAATCAGATTGTTTGGGTTGGCCTTGTAGCCTAGTGGTTAAGGGAGCTGGATTCCACATGGCCATTTGCAGTTCGAGTCCCTACCCCAGAAGCTTGAAAAACATGCTGGGTACATGTCCAAAATCCCAAGAGGATGAAGGAATGGAGGAGAAGGGACTGTGGCGTGACCATGCCCCATGGGGTGATACTTTCTCCCTTCTCTCTCTTTAGTGAGCAAACATAAACTTTGGCAAATTTTTTTTAGAAGTATTTATTTATTTGTATTTATTTTTATTACTTTTTTTTTTCATTTGCTATTGGGCGTGTGCTTGCCAGACACACACACACACTCACACACTCACACACACACAGAAAGTGAGAAAGCAAGCCTCCAGGTCCAGAACTTGGTGATGTGAGAGTCTAGCACCTTAACTACCTCACCACCTGCTGGCCTGACGTCTGGCAATTTTTTGTAAAAAATCAAGATATTTTATGTCTTTCAGAGTGACAAAATTGACCAGTAATAGGGACTGAATGAAGAATCTAGTTATTTTGACTTACTGTCTGGGCATCTGCTCACTAAGCTTGTGATTCCACTTTAATTTCTAACTCTCCTCACACACTGTCTTCCTGGGGATTCTGTAGTTCTCTGCTCCTTGTCTTGGAGCATTGGGTTGGCTGTCCGAAAATGTGAGCCAGCTTGAGCTGGGAGTCATCGGCATGAAAGTCAGTGAACGTCTTGTCAGGAACATTTTGGGGTACCAACAAATGGCATAATGGTTATGTTGCTGGACTCCCATGTAGTTGATCGTGATTCAAGTCTGGGACCCGGTCATTTAAAACTCATGCCAGGCACGTGTGTGCCCATGATCCCAACAGGAGAATGTAAGAGAAGGGATTGTGGAGTGGCCATCCCCCAAGGGGTGATTTCTCACTTTCTGTCTCTCTGTCTCTCTGGCAAGCGCATATGCCCTATAGCAAAAATCCCTCAAAAACAAAACAAAACAAAAAACAAGAAAAAGAAAAAGAAAAAAGAAAGAAAGAAAGAAACATTTTGGAACCCAAAACTTTTGAACCCAGGACTATAAACGAAAAATATTAGATTGTTTTGCTTACAGAGGACGCAGCATCCTTGGTGACACTGTGACAAGTCACTTAGCCTGAGGAGGTGAGGCTACATAGCAGTCAGGTACACACATTCACTTTCCCAGCAGGAAGGTTTGGGAGTCTCGAGGGGAAGGATTCTTGTCACCATGGTGAGCTGTGGAGGGAATCCAGGAAGAAGAAAGTGATGGAAATGCTATGATTTGCTGTCTGGAAATACCATCTCAGTATCAGCTGACAAGTCGAAGACCTGGCTTGCCCTTAATCTTCCCATAAAGTCCTTCCCATTAATCTTCTGAACTCTCAAACAATCCAGTTTATTTATTTTTATTTTACTTTTTTTTTTTTTTTAGAGAGATTTTTGCTATAGGGTGCATGCACTTGCAGAGAGACAGAAAATGAGAAATAACCCTCACCGGGGGGATGGCCACGCTGCAATCCCTTCTCCTCTAGGGATTTTGGGTACACACGCACATGTGCCTGGCATGAGTTTTAAGCTGTTGGATCCTGGACTCAAACTGCAGTCGACTATGTGGGAGTCCAGTGACATAACAATTACACTAAACGATCCAGTTTAGTTTCCCAACAAACCTCCCAGAATTATGCCTAACAGACTCTCCATCCTCAAGAGAAGGCTGGTAGGGAAAATGGAGTGGTCTGGATACCAGTTCCAGCTCTGTCTGGAGCAGGGACTGCCATGAATCCACTCAATTTGGACCTGAGTGAGGGAGACCAGGCCTAATCCTGATGAACTCTCCATGCAGCTACATGGACCTCCAGTTTAGCAATTAGTACATCAGTTCATCACGTTCGGGTTATTGATATTTTGCTCTCCTAGACTATAAACCCCTTGATATCAGTCATTGCTTCTCATCTATCTATTTTCCACCCCAAATGCAACAGTAATTGGATGAAAAGAATTAAGAAAAATGCACTAGGAAAAAAAAATGCACTAGGTAACACTGGACAAATCACTTTCCTCTCTTGGACTCAATTTGTCTGTTTTTAAGATGGAGCGATAGGCATAAAGAGCCTTCCAGTGGTGACATTCTATGACTCTCTGTGTGCTTCTTCTGCCTTCCACTATGATGTAACTTGTAGGATCAGAAACCCTGGCCTGGACTTCAGTGAGAGTCTATTACATGCTGACCGCAGATAAGAAGGTTCTTTCTGCCTTGACTGTGTGTGCCCTCTGCCTTCACTTGCTCAGATAACGGAAGAATAGTGGTCAGAGGCCAAAAACATCTTTTGAGTTTTTTATTTTTAATTGACAGACTTTCTTTCTTTCTTTCTTTCTTTCTTTCTTTCTTTCTTTCTTTCTTTCTTTCTTTCTTTCTTCTTTCTTTTTCTTTCCTTCTTTCTTTCTTTTGGATAGAGAGAGGAGTACCCTCTGCAAAGTTTGTTTGCACTGTGACCCCTCTCTCCAGCACTCTAGCTTACCAGGAACCTGGGTTCATGTGCATGCACCCAGTGTGTTTTCAGGCCCACTGGGCACGGAGACTCAAGCCATGGTTGGTATGTGGCTTCCATACCGTAGTCTGCTATTGACTGTACCAGATGCTAGGTCCATAGACTGTTTTTTTTTTCTAGCAGTTTTAGTTCTCGATAAGTTCCATTTTTTTCTCCCATAAAGTGGAGGAAATCAGAGTACTGGCCACATAAGGTGTTCTGAGGCTGAAATGGAATAATCTACAAACCTTCTGTGTGGGTAGCATGGATTCCTCACAGGTTATGAGTGTTGTCATTTTAATTATTATTATTATTATTATTTTTTAAATTATTTATTTATTTATCCACTCATTTATTTTTTTTTAATTTGACCAGAGAGAGACACACACACACACAGAGGGGTGGGGGGAAAGTGAGAAAGTAAGCCACCAGGTCCAGGACTCGAACCGTGGTTGGCCATGTGGGAGTGTCCAGCACCTCAACCACCACGCCACCCGCTGGCCCCATTATTATTATTAATGG